CCTCTAAGCCTCTGAAACCTGCGAACCCTATTCAAGACACATACTTGGGGCGTTCCCCGTTCTGCTAACAGGTCCTTAATAGGGATTATAATAGGGGGTTACTAGAATCCCTACCAAGGAGCTGTTAGAAGAAGGGGGAACATCCCAACTTATTTCCCTGAACCCCACTTAGAGGTTCAGGGTACTTAGTAACCAATTCTAACTGTGCGTATTAACCCACTGACAAGCCCCTTAAGTGCCCTGATATGGTTACAAGTACAGTTATAACTGGTTAGTAAGTACCCTGAACCCTAAACCCTACAAACCCTGCAAACCCTATAAACCCTATATACCTAAATCCTAATGACCATGAGAGCTCCGCAGCAGAACTGACCGACAGGTCGGCAAGGAGGCGCCGAGAGGTGCCCCCCCGGAATTTTTGTTTTATTCACATGCTTGGATTCAGCAAGTCTATTCTCATATTTTTTTAAATCTTAGTACTATTATATTCTATTATAGCTTTCGGTTATTCTATTCTTTTTTTTACATTTGTATTCTCTTATTACATACTATGATTATGATACGATTTTCTTGTGATCCGATTGTGGCTTCGGGTTTGGGATTTCGTGCGTAGGGCTTTGAATCGTCATTGGGGCACAGGGGTCTGCAGTCCAGGGGCCTTTAAGCGGCTCAAGTCAGAAGATAGCCCGAAACCTGGCTAGTACTGGCAAGTTCTTAGTAGGGAATGAGGGCCCTTAATAATCCCTCAAAAGGGTAGGCCCTAAATAATCCCTTCAAAGGGTATATGCAGGGCCCTCATTCTCTCAGTCCCTGGTTACTAAGAACCAGGCGGACTAGGTAGGCCCTTGGGATATGCTAATGGTCTCTGATAATTGGGTTTCAGCGGATCCTGTAGTGCGCTTCAGAGGGTTCTGAGGGGCAAACCTAAACCCTAAACCCTAAACCTAAACCCTAAACCCACCCTAGTCTAAGAAGCTCAAGATCGAAAGAGAGTCCGACATTTGGGATGTTCCCCCTTATACTAGCAGTGCTTGATGGGGACTCTGATAGGGGGGTACTAGACTCCCAAAAAAGGGCTGTTAGCACAATGGTGAACATCCTGAGCTCCCATGTTGCCTCCATGGTCCAAAAAATTATTGTAAAGCTATAATCGTATGTCCCTGAGCCTCCTGGAAGGCCTGAATGCGCAGTCCTCCAAAGCAGAGGACTCTTTTTGGTTTGGAGGGTCCGGATAGCAGTAATTGCAGTAGCTTGTGTGCTGTTGGGGTTTGTGCAGTTGTTTTTCTACTGCTCTTCGAGCTTGTGCCCTAGAGTCGAAGCCCCAAATCCTTGTCGTTTCGAGGAGACTAAGATGGCCGCATCGGCGAATGAGGCGCAACGGCAGCTTCTTGTCGGAACTGCGTGTTAAGATTTGGTGTGAACGAATGTGCCTCTACTGTCGGGTGATGTCGTGACCCTTTGGGATTGAGGATTGCTTAGGGGCTGGCAGGGTCACTGCCTTTAGTGAGTCTTTTTGGTTGGGGAAGCCATATGTAGCCCTTCAGATCTCGAAGGGCCACCGCATCTGCGACAAGGGAGTTCAGGAAGAAGATGACCGGTTCACTGCAAAGCACAATCACAGTTGTAGTCGGGGCTATAGGTACCCTGATCCTCCAAGTACAGTTTGAGGGGTCATGTCGTGGCTTGGACGCGCGGCCGGCTGCCGTATGGCTCTGCAGAACTTGAGCGAACTACGGCTCACTGCTGCACCTTGGCCAATGCAGCAGTTGCCATTTTTTTCAAGCAGCAGAAGCACTGAGAAGCACCCATGCCTCCCATCTTCAGTGTAGTGCGAGAATTGTTCAGTAAGTTCAGTATGTTCAGTCTTTTTGGCCGCCTGCTCTGTGGACTTTGTGTCGCACCGAGGCCATGGGTGAAGCTTGAGGGCCGCTGATGGAGGCAAATTCATCAGCACCAACGTCGTGAAGTGTGCTAAGCTTCTCATATTTCTTCAGCGATTTCAATGGCTCACCGCGTTCAGGATCCGTGCCCACATGCTGTGGTGTCCTCGCAGATGCTGCAACGCCACGCATCGTCGCAGGAGTCGCAAGAGCCGATAGATGACTGTAGCCTGGATCGAAGAAACGAGGACGAGCGCCTTGACAGCAGAATGAACAAGTCCTGATAGTCCTAGTTGCTCAATCTGTTGACTTCGGATCCGACCACACGCATGCAGCGCTGTACCTGCAAGGCGCCCGACAGCACGTCCCGTGACTCGTGGCCGAGGTCCCCTGGTGCTGGGGGTGGGAAACATGAGTGTCACAATCCCTAAACCCTAAACCCTAAACCCTTTAAAATTAGTGGAACCTCAAGCTTAATTAACCCATGCAACCAGACATCGCCTGCCCACTAGAACATCTCAGCGCAGAGCTTGCTGTGCTTAGCTTCTTGTGAATCAACTGAGTTCTGAAGTGCTGTGAGAGCATGAGACCTACGACGTTGTCAATTGTGTGGCCTTCAGGTCATGTTAAAGACACAGTGTCGACTTAATGCCGTCGTAGCATGACCCTATGCTTTCGTTCACATGAGGCAAGTCGCTGTTTGCAGAGAGGGGGTGCAAAGGTCACGTACAAGGACAAGTATGCCCATTGCCAACTCATGTGAGCCTTGGTGGTCCTGGCAGGTCACCGTGGACCTGCTGAGGAAAAGGCACGACGGGTCGTCGGCATCCTAGCGATGTATGCACGAGCTGAAGCACGGACTGGGATGGAGTTATCCTCAGCTGGTGACTCATTTGTAGGAGAACAGGAGAGTTCGGCACATGGGCAGACCCGAAAGATCCGGGGTCGGGAAATTTGGGGTTTTGTAGGGTTGCTGGTAGGTCGCTGGTGAAAGCTGCTCCTCCGCAAGAAAGGTCTTCGTGGATCACCACCATGTACACCACCACCATCATTTTCACGCTCCAGCGGACTGGGACGGTGTCTCGTCAGATCCGCATACCCAAGCTGTTTCTTTGCGTTTGGTTTGTGGTAGAGGTTTTTGAGGATGTCGGCCTCAGATTCGGGGGCCTTTCCGATGCTGAAGGGTCAACGATTGTTCCATGAAGCAGATCTACTGGGTGCCAGTTTGGAGTGAGAGGGAGCAGCGAGGATCACAAGAGGACCCCCCCCCCCCCCAACGCCATCTTTTTGTTTGAAGCCTCAAACACGCAGGTACACCTGGCGATCTGCCACCAGACACTCTACAGCGATGCCAGGAACAGAAGGCATGGCTGAGGTTGAGGGTCCATAAAACCCTAAACCCTAAACCCGTAAGGCGGCTGGCTTGAGCAGAAACCGATGGTGCCCCATGTGCTTCTAGCCGCTTCTAGCCCCTTGTTCCCAGATTTTGCAAGCAACCTGCTCTGCATGCTCTTCGTCCGCATATGTATAAACATAAATTTAATAAATGTAGGTTATTAGATATGTCATATATATGTATATACATGTATATATATATATATATATATTCAAGTTTATGTTTATGTTTATGTCTATATTTGTATTTATATTTGTACTTGTTTGTGTGCAAGGAAGCTTCGACTTGCGACTCGCACGTCGGCATGCTTCACGTCCCCTAGTCTGTACAAAGTCCTCAGATGCTCAATAACCGCATGCCCAGGGCAGCTGAGGACCCTCTTAGGTGAATCTTCTATGAATTGCTTAAGAACCCCCCCCCCAAAAAAAAAAAAACATAAATTCTCTTCCTTATAAGGGAAATATAGGGATTGTTACTATTTTGTTTTTTGGGGTTTCGGGTTCTTAAGCATAAAGTAGTCTTGAAGCCTTGCCAACAGGTAGAGCAAGATGTGGAGCGCTGTATGCAGCAGAAAGGCAGCGCTGGGGAAATCAGATCTGACTCTTATTCTGGTTCTGAGTACTTCGTACCAGAGTCTCCCACACGGTCTAAGGAGCTTCAATTCCCTTGTTGGTTTGGGGCCAATCTCTTGGGGTGTTCAGCAGTCGGAACTAGCATGTGACCTGCTGCTTCAAAGCTGGCCACTAAAAAAGTCAGACTTTTAGCCCTAAGCGCAAGGTCAAAAGCTGACCCTCTATCTCCATAAGGCCTCTTTCCAAGTTTGTGTCCCAAGAGACCAAGGCCCTGAATTCCTACACTGCCCTGTCACAGGGCACCTTTGCTTAGACAGGAGGATGCCAATCACCAATCTCTCGCAGGCTCTCGCAGAATGCACCCTACACTGCCCCTACACTGACTTTAAACTCCCCTTCTCATCTCGCAGAAGCCTTTCTCGCCTGCATAAGTGGAGGAGGGCCGACGCCCGCTCCCCCACCGCCACAAAAGCAGGGTCGCCCACGACCGAGGTGCGGGCATGCAGCAGGGCATGCGGGATCTATTCGGGGTCTTCTTTGTTGCTGGGCCCTGTAGCAGTGCAGCATTTAGGTGTCTCACCTTGTGGCGATATTCGGGGTTGAGGGTGATAGGGGGGGTTGAAGGCTTGAGGCCGTTTGTGATTGATAGTTGCTAGCAACAAAGTCAGATCATCCAGCGGGAACCATCAAGAAGTAGAGATGAAGCCGCGACCTGCCGCGACGGATTGCCTCCCATCTCTGAGGCGGAATGCGCCTGGCCGCTTGGAGCCGGTGGGGAAGTTGTGCAAGTTGTTCCTCTCTCTCTCTCACTCTCTCTTTGGATGTTTAGGATTGTCATTATGCGCTTTGTTGAAAGCTTCGGAGCGTGCTTGACTTCGAGTGCCCTCCCCCCTGTGCTTAGGCTATGCTTAGGCTTAGCATTGCTTGGCAAACCTGCTCCCGCTGCGCCGCCTGCCCTTGCTACTCGTATGTCTGAAGTCTCAAGAGGACAAACCAGAGAGACATCACAGGCTTGAGCTCAAAATCATTCGAGTTAATATCAAGCTATCGGAATCCGACTTCAACTTGAAAGTAGCGTCGCAAGCCATCAAGCTCAACAATTGGCAGAGGTGATTGTGTGCCTATCTTCCTTGTTGCGAGATCGCTGCCACAATGGAGTTGCTGCATCTTCTTCTGACCATTGCAGCTTGCCGCATGGCTTCAGCTGTGTCGTCAGACTACGCCGGCTCCAGCTACACGTCGATGACAGTTACGACGGAGCGCTATGCCTGCAGTGGCGAGCTCACTGGTGGCAACTCTGCAACGAAGATCGCACAACATGTGCTGGGTGACCGTTCTTGTTCAGGACAGGCTTCATACTTCGCGTGCTCCGTGACGGGCTCTAAGGTTGGCCGCTTTGCTTGCGATTCCTCCGACACCAATGAATCCAGTCCGATTGAAGAGTATGCAGTGGGTGGCTGTTTCGCCTGTGCCGACTATGCTTTTCCCTGTGCTCGAATCTGGTGGAAAGGAACCTACTACGATGGGAAATATTTTAAGCCTGTCTGCAACAGTTACAGCCCAGGCTTAAACTCGGGGCAATCGCCCGGTTGCCGTATCTGGACTGCGGTGGTGGTCGTCCTCATCAGCATGGTCTGTTGCTGAGTACTTCTCACTGGCATGATGAACTTCGCTTCCAAAGGAAGACGATGCGGATCCACAGAAAATGAGAAGTCGGCCACCACACCTAACTTCCAACAGGATATGCCTAGAATGACCCCGCATTCCTGAACCCATGGCATCAGCTATTAGACCTGCTGCGAGAGGCCAGTTTCCATGATTCGCTTTGCTGCTACGTCTGTACGCTACCACGCTGCCATCACTAGACGACTTGCTCGTCGTGATTGCGATCGTGACAGTGGCAGTGATGATGGTGGCGGTGACGCTGATGCTGATGATGATGATGCTGCTGCTGCTGCTGCTGAAGTTCTTGTTGATGGTGCTGTTGCTGAAGCTCTTTTTGATGCTGCTGTTGATGGTGCTGCTCATAATCATGCTGCTGAAGATGATAATGATGATGATGGTTTTCAATGATGATGATGATGATGACGATGACGATGATGCAATGCAAGAGGTGTGCCAAGGCTTAAACTGCTGAACATGATTTTGCTCGGTGCGTTGGGGGGATGCAATACATGTCCTTATGTTGCTGGGGTTGAAGGCATGTTAATTTTGCCGGGAGTTCGATCTGATTGAAATCGCTCACGACCCTCCCACACGAGTTCTGTGACACGCGGGAAATTCTGTGGCACAGGTTGGAGGAGCAAGCATTGATGTTTTGGAGGAGTGTCTCGGCGCTGTCAGCTAGCTTTACTGCAGCGATTGCTCATGTGTTTAGATTTGTCAGCCCGGGTTTCCTGCGGAAGCACCTTCGAACGAAAACAACAGAAGAACATTCGCACAAACTGGCAAAACCACCTTCGCCAGTGATCTGAGCACCCTAGCCCTGGACACCTTTGCGGAAATTTACTGAGGTCTGAAGCAGCTGAGTCGTGAGGCACTGCAGCGCAGACACGTCTGGCACTGGGGCTCAGGTCTCTTGCTGGGAGCCTTCCCGGCTTGCAGAGCACCTTCAGCACCTTCGGCGCCCGCAGAGGCGCTTCTTTTTTTAGGGCTCGGGAGTGAAATCTTGAGCCGGTCTTAAGGGCGTGACGGGGTGAAGTCTTCAAGGAGTTGCTGGGACACGTGCATGCGAACTGACGCCGAAGTTTTTGTTCCAAGTCTCGGAGAACAGGACTTAGTGTTAGGTCGGGTGCATAGGCTTTGGCCATCCAGGTTCGGACTTCAGAAGCTTTATCTCCGGCGTTTCTGTGCTGTAATGGGGCTAGGGACACTTAACGCGCCCATGGTCCCTTTCAAGAATCTGAGGTGCAGGATCGAAGACTTCAGTGTCAAGCAAAAAGGGAACTCCGCCCGTTAGTAATCAAGTAATCAAATTGGGTCGAAAGTATGCACAGGCCGCAGGAGGGGTCTCTGCCGGGTTTCCTGCCAATTTCCCGTGCTTGTTGCGCTTTCTGCTGTTGACTGGTCTTGTGCTGACGAGCCGTGCTTAAACACAAAGTCTTTTATATTATGTGAGCAGGTGTGCCAGCCGATGCAGCGTTGGCATCTGCAGAGGCATGGGAGCTCCGGATTAAGGGAAGCTCGGGGTTTCGGCTGCTTCGGCTTCTTCGTCTTGCTTGTGGGTCCCACGTCTATCCCGGAAGAGAGACATGTCTGGTACTAGGGGCGGGGGCCTGCCGGTTCTGGAGGCTGTTTAGGGTTTAGGATTTAGGGCTGGGGTGTGTGTGTGGTCGGAGCCCAGATTGCCATCAAACCCCTTTCACAACCTTGCCCGGCATTGTCTTCAAAGTTTCATGATAGGGTTGTTTGCGCAATTTTTGAGTCGACGTGTAGATCCGCGTAGACTAGCATGGTCTCTTGCCTTTCATAGAGAGTCCTGAATTGTGGGCCCTTGGGGTTTTCTAGGGGTCACCTTAGGGGTATAGGAGGGGCTCCCAACTTAAGGGTCCAGACTCAGGGCCCTTGCAACTACCCCAAGATTGTGTTGGTCATCGCCGGCCTCCTCCTCTAGACACTGACTTCCTACTGAGCGGAAGCCATCATCCCCAATCCTAGTCCCCTGGCCTAACAACCAGAGCATGGTAGGCCTCATGGCTGGCAAGCGTGTCGAACCCGCTGCCGGCCACCAACAGCGTGGCACAGACGCTTGCCCGCAGCGTTGGAGGTTACAGGGGCCGGTTTCGACCTTGCGGACATCGTCGAATATGACCTCTGTATAAAAGTCTGTAGAAAGGCGGGCGTGATTGCGGAGCCAGCTAATGCAAGCTCGAGGCATATGTGCAGAAGTCATGCAGGCGATATATTCAATCTGTGGGCCTACCCCCGAGGTTTTTGTTTTGCAAAGTTCTTTCAGATCTCAAGATGAGCCTTAAGTGATTGTTCTCCGTTGCTGGACCCGAAGCACGTCGAATGGCGGCTAGGGCCCTGCTTCCGGGGACTTCTTGAAGTTTAGGTGGTCTTTGCGTGTGCTGATGCACGAAGACTGCCCTTATTGTAATATGGCTGCTGGGCGACCAAGATGTTGGGAAGGGAGGTTCGCGCTCCTGTCTATCCTGCGAACGGTTAACGTGGCAGCTTCCGGTTGGCGGCCGTGGTGGCAACTGCGGATGCAGAAATAACGCAAGACCTTGACCCTGGGTCAGGCAAATCTGAAGGCGCAGAATATTTGGCAAGTCCTCAGCATCTGAGCCCCAACACGACACTGGGATCGGATGCAAGATTTCGTGCTGATGCCACCGCACAGGTGCATCTCCACTGCCTCCCTTCAAGAACTAGGTGTTTTTTCGAGCGACCACTGGCTTCTAGTCGACACTGGTGAGCACGCCATTGTGTTTTTTCACTCGTTGAGCCTCTCGTTCCGTCGACTTTCGGCCTAACCACACACTCATTGTGTTGTCCCTGGTGGTGTTCTGTTTGCTAGTGCTGGCCTCACTGCCATCGCAGTCTTTCTCCTAGGAGGCCTTGTTTGCTGTTGCACGCTTGTGACCACCCAACGAGCTTCTCCCAGTTGCTTCTATAATTTAAGTCGGTTGATTTTGTTGGCCAGACAGAGTGGCCGACACTTCCCCCAATTAGTTTTGTTGAGAATGGGGCTTCGGTGTGCCAATGGGGAAAGGCATTCAGGATGGTAGTGTTGAATGCCCCCCGAAAGACGTAGATTCGACATGGATGCCCCAACTGACGTTCTCCCAGATGAAGCTACTGTAGCATGTCATTCTGAGACATATACCCGTCTAAGTCGGCAGCCCTGGAATAATTCTAGCTCAGTGCAAGATGTAGGAGCGTTGCAGCAAAATTGCCATGTTGGACTAGACTCGCGGCTCGAGCCCTGTCCCCAATGACTACGACCCTGGCCCTGCCACTTCGGGTGGTTGCAAAGCCATGTTTTCCACATGCCTTTGTTTGCTCGCCAGAGCAAATTTTTAACAAGCATCTGGGGCTGCACAACCATGTTTTTCACGTGCGCTGGGATGAGTAATAGCACGATTTCCGAACCATGTTTTCCAGGTGCTTTGGGGGGCTCAAAGCACTTGTTGTTTATAAGCACGGGCTACCAATGGTTGTAAAGGGGCGTTTCGGCTTCTCAAGGTTTTGAATCTTGGCTTCCGAAGATGTTTCAGGAAGAAGCAGCCGCCAGAGCTTCAGCTACAGCAGTATTTCGAGGCAGGGCTTGCTGGTCAAGTAAAACTGAAGTTGATGGTTCGGTCCATGGTTGAGTTTGCATGTGTGGTGGCTTGGCTGTTTGGCCATAAAGCAGGTGTTTTCGGAGTATGTGGGGTCTGATGTTTGTGGCTCGCAAGATGAAGAAGAAGCAGATATTCAATTGCGATGCCAGTTTCAGAGGTTACGTATCCAGCTTAAGGGTTCATTAACAGAATGCGGCCGTGGGTTTGCGTTTGTGCTCTAAACCCCGAAGGGGAACTTCCCATAAATTGGAACGATACAGAGAAGATTGGCATTGCCCCTGCGCAAGGATGAACTCGATAAGTGTACCAAAGCAAAGAAAGGTAAACCCTAGTTGCTCAGATTCAGAGACAGCGCCGAATAAACCCTAAACCCCAAACCCCAAACCCTAAACCCTAAACCCTAACCCCAAACCCTAAACCTAGACCCTGCCAGGTCATGTCCTGCTTGCCTTTGGAGACCCGCCTGAAGTTGTCGCCCTATGCGGTGCCGCTGGGCGCGCGGTAGGGTCTCGTGCTGACCTCCAGCTGCGCTTGATTATCTTCTAGTGTCCTTAAGAGGGGTTTAACGTTTAGGGTTAGGGTTTAAGGTTCTTAAGGGAGGGGGGGTTCAAGGGGATTATATAACCCAAGATTCCCTACTCCTCCCCGCTACCCTGAGGCTCCCTCAGCTTCCCTAAGGTTCCCTAGGTACCTACCGTGTACAGGTCAGCTACATACATAGGTGTACATTTGCATTTGTTCTTTTCTGGTGTGCACTTTGCATGCGGAACTGCTCCCTTTAGGATTTGCCATTGTTTGTTGGGGATGGTTGCATATGCGGGGTGAATGCCAATGTACTCGTATGTGTGTACGCAAGCAGGGGTCTATGTGTGTCCTCTGTGTGCAGATATGTATGAGTTTAGAGTTGGCGGTTTGAGTGTTGTTCTGTCACTGGGTCTCAGCACGAAGATTAAGTGGCGTTTCACCTTTTCACCCAAGATGATGGCAAGAGAGCTGTCGAGGCGTTGAGGCTCATAAAAGAAGCTGACCAAGTGCAGCGTGTCTTGTGCCACTGCATCTCTTCGTTTTAATGATTTCAATTGTTCTTCTTCCGGGGAGAGAGAGGTGCCGTATGAATCAAGCAAGACTACTGGGAGGCTCATGGGTAGTTATAAGTAGGGTTATAAGTACCCCAAGTAAGGTTATAACCATAGAAACCCTACTTATTACCCTACTTATAAGTACTCAAACCTCTGGTCCAAGTAGTGCGATTTGTTGCCATTTCTCACAGCTTGTCGGTTGAGAGGCTCGGCCCGCTCCTACACAGTCACTTTCGGCAGCGCGCCAAGACGGGTTCTGCATGCCCTGTGGCGATCT